GTATGTGACTGTTTACCAGGAGCGAGCTTTGCCTTTTCCTGGTGTGTGGAGAGGTGGAAATCTTAGCTGTGGTTAATATCTGTGCATTTGTCTTTTTAATAATAACAATAACAACAACAAATTATTATTAATAAGACGTTGTATTATTTTTTTTAATTTTGAATAATTTAAAAAGATTTATGATTATTATTTAATTTTAAATTATTCTATATCAAAAGTAATACAATGCTGATTAATCTAAAACAAAATTTATTATTATTATTATTTGTTATATCAATTCAAATTATTTTGAATTTAAATTAATATTATTATTAAAAAGACACTATTAATTTTCATTTACAATAATTTAAAATTACAATAATAATAATAATACATTATTATTATTATATTTATTATTATTACTGTTGTTATTATTATTATTATTATAATTTTAAATGATTCTGAATTTATATTAATATTATTATTAAACAGACACTATTAATTTTCATTTAGAACTATTTAAAATGCAGTAATAATAATAATACATTATTACTATTACTATTATTATTATTATTATTATTATTATTATTATTGTTATTATTAATAATACAATTTATTTTAATATTGTTATTTAAAATGCTGTGTTAATTTTCATTTAGAATAATTTAAAATTACAACAACAACAATAATGATGATGATGATGATGATGATGATGATGATTATGATGATGATGATGATAATAATCTCAGCTTTTGACAATATTTTTTTTTCACTAATATAATAATATAAAGCAAAAAACATTGTTTTAAATGAGAAAAATGCAAAGTTGAAGCATTTTAGCTAGTGGTGTCACATATTTGAAATCCTAAGACAGGGATCAAAGCCAGGTTACAGCCATCATCATTTTCAGCTGTGACTGTATTTGTATGTGTGCGTGCAGGGGGTAAGTTGATCGATCCCGAGGCCTGGTTGTCTGAGACAAGTCTGGTCTCAGCCCTGTGTTTGATCATGTCTGCTTCGACATGCATTATTAAACAGCCCTCTCCTCCCCTTGATCAGCACCGTATCTGAGATAACCAGCCTCCAGCCGGCCACACTCATCCTGGGGCATGTTGGTGCTCAGCAGGTCGCACTCTTAAGTGGACGTACTGAGCTGCAGGGTCCTGTCGCATGCTGGGCTCAGGAAGGGTCCCATGACTTCAAATGATTTCGGATGCATTACTGAGACCAGACATCCCATCATATGTTACTGTTTGCTTTTCCCAGCTACTGAAATGTTTACAGCCTAATTAAAAAGCATTTCTTCCATCTGTGGGATGAAGCTTTTTTTAATTGTTTAATTATCTTCTCTAGACTGTACATATTTGTCTGTTCGGTCCAGCTGAGTAGATAGTGAAATGTTTACCGCCTAATTGACTTACATTTCCTCAATCTGTAGTGGGGGCTGTTCCGATTTTCACAGTTCTGTCCATATTTTCCTGTTAACCGATCTCAGAGGAGACAATGTTGAATATCATACTGAGACCAAGCAGAATTACTGCGGAAATTATTGCTTCTAGGCATGGCACTCCAGTAAATATGCATTTTGTCATGCAGCGGAAGTTGTAATTTTTCACCTAATTGTTATCTACAGAAAAATCATAGTGAATAATTCATCCCCCTTCATATTCCT